CTCTCTCTCTCTCTCTCTCTCTCTCTCTCTTTCTCTTTCTCTTTCCTCCCTTTCTTTTTACTGGGGATTGAACCCAGGGACACTTAACCACTGAGCCCCATCCCCAGCCCTATTTTGTACTTTGTTTAGAGACAGGATCTCACTGAGTTGCTTAGCGCTTCACTGTTGCTGAGGCTGGCTTTGAACTCACGATCTTCCTGCCTCAGCCTCCCAAATGGTATGCACCATCACCCCTGGCATTTTTGCTTCTTTATAAGTGGCCTGATCTCACTGATAGAGTTAATTAGGGTGAGGCTGATGTAAAATTTGAGAAGTGGATTTAAAGAATATAAGTTGGAGCTGGGGGTACAGCTTGGTGGTAGATAGAGTATTTGTCTAGTTCGTGGAAGGCTCTGGGTTTGATCGTCAGAACCACAAAAAATAATTTTAAAAAATTACATAAAGCATAGGAAGTAGCTGGATGCAGTACATACACCCATCATTCTAGTGACTTGGGGGTCTGAGCCAGGAGACTCACGAGTTCCAGGCCAGCCTGAGCAATTCAGTAAGACCTTCTCTGGAAAGAAAATATCAAAAGGGCTAGGGATGTGGCTCAGTGGTAGAGCAATCGGTGGTGCAATCCCCAGGGCCAGAAGGGAAAACAGAATATGAAGTAAAGGAGAGTCGAGGTGGCCCAGGGACATAGCAAGAGGTCATGCAGGTGAAACGAGACCAACTGGAGTTGGGCAGCAGAGATCAGAGGTCAGGGTGGGCTCCGTGGCAGTCTTGGGGTGAGGATCGTGACAGGCTCTGGGACAGCAGTTCTGCCTCTGTGGATTGGCATCCCCCTGTCTCCAGAGGATCTGGATTTGCAGCCATCTGGGATTGAACTGGACTTTCTGATGGGTCCCTCAGGGATCGCTTTCACCTGCCTTGTCCCCCCCCACACACACCTCGTCTTGTTCTGGCTGTCCTTGGGCCCTGGGCTACAGCAGGTGGGGAGAGGCTGCAGGTGCATGTCCTGGGTGGGGCATTGGCCACACAGGCTTTGCAGGGCCCCCTCCCCTCCCTCCATCACGGCTGCATCTGTCTCTTTCCTCCACAGGGGGAGGGGTTGCACCAACTACGCGAGGCTTTGAAGATTTTAGCTGAGAGGGTTTTAATCTTGGAAACAATGATTGGGCTCTATGGTGAGTAGAGACAGACAGACAGACATACAGCCCAGCTGCTGCCTGTCAGCCTTCCCCAAGCCATCCTGGGGTGGGACTTGCCTAAGCCCAGTCATGAGGCCTGAACAAGTCCTGAGAGGCCAAGACCACCCATCTCTCAATGACTGGCCCCTCCTCCACAGGTGAAGAGGGGCCCTGGAGACCCTGGATCCCCGCCTGGGGTCAGACCTGGGCCTCTGGGCATTGTGGGTGATGTGATTTCCAGGCCTGTGGGGAACCAGAGATGACAGATTGTAAGTTTGGAAGAGATGATGGGCAATGGAACCAAACTCTAGATCAGCAAGGGATTGTGGGTAACGGACCAGACTCCAGCAGTGCAGAGGTTCATGGGTGGGACAGAGACCAGGCCCACGGGAGGATTACAGGGAAATGGAGCCTCTAGTCAGACCAGCTCTGTAGAATCCATAGGTGATAGAGCCAGTCTCCAGACCCAGGGACGGTAGGTCATGGAGCTCGACTCCAGAAGTGCAGCAGACTGTGGGTGACAGCCAGATTCAGGCCCCAGAGGACTCTGCGTAATGCACCATCTACATCCTGACCCCTTCCCCCAAGACTCCAGAGACTCTCCCATGGGCGCCCTCCTGGCCCCAGGTAATCCCCCTTGCAGTTTCCACTTTGGTTCTCCTCACCTGTCCTCCAGTTACCTTTCAGGGATCAAAACAGACCCTTGCCCCAGGCATCTACCCCACAATTCCCCACCCTTCTGGTCATCTGAGGAGCCAGGCAAACCCTGTTCCCACCTTAGGGAGGGGAGAGCAGGTGTCAGTGGAGACACATAAATGTCCCTACCTTGAAGACACCTGGCACCTGCCCGCCCGTTCGCCCCTCAGCTTCCCTGCCCAGCCCTGGAGGCCAGAGTCGCACCGTCTGCTCTTCTCAATCTCCCATCAGGCTCCTAGCTTACAGAGCTTCCTGCAGCAGCAGGCTCAGCTGGAGCTCCTGGCCAGACGGGTCACCCTGCTGGAAGCCATCATCTGGCCAGGTAATGGTAGGGTGGGCAGGCAGGGGCAGCCCCTTCCAGGAAGGGACTGGGAAGGGCCTGGGCCTGCAGAGGGTGCCTCCTGATGTGTGGCCCAGGCCAGCAGACATTCATTCATCCTTCCGTCCACCCATACTAGGCAGTGACTGGCACACTGAGGGCTCTGGTTTTGGGTGGATGAGCACCTACTCTGTGCCAGTCACCTCAATGGCATGGGCTTCAACAGATCAAACACAGCCCTGCCCTTGTGAGCTTAGCACACTGTGGGGCTGGGGACAGATCTGGCATTGGCTCTGAAACCCAAGATGAGATGTACTGTGGTGGGGTGGCTGGTGTGTGGGAGGGGGTCACTCAGGGAGGGCTTCCTAGACCAGGTGATGTCTTGGCAGTGACCTGAAGGACGAGGATCAGGGGAGAGGGAACAGGCAGCAGGGCAAAGGCCAAAAGGCCAGAGAGCCCAGAGGACTTGTTCCTCAAAGTTGCTGAGAGGTGAGAGTCAGGCTGGAGGATCTGGCAGGGTCGACAGTAAGAAGGTCCTAGAAGGCAGGCTGGGGTGGCACAGAAGGATGTCAGGACTCCAGGTGGGAGTACCCGCCCTGGTGCCTGGCTCCTGAGGTGAGGCTGAGGGTGTCCCTGCCCCTTCAATTAGAGCCTGTGGCTGGCACCAGGAGAGTATGGATTGACTGCCCCAAGGCCGGGCTCTGTTCCTTTCCTACTCACCCCCTGCTCCCCTTCACCCACCTCCAGCCACCGCATCTGACATCCAGTGAACACATCAGTGCAGAGAGGCCTTGACATGATCTTACTCATATCTCTTATAAAAAGAGAAACTGAGGACCCAAGCAGGAAAGAGGGTCAAGGTTAGAACCAAGCCCCCTTTATTTAGCAGAATCACAGGGAGCATATACTGGATGCCAGGCTCAGTGGGCACATGGGCCTTGCAGAGCACTGGGCTCCTGCCTTGGGAAGCTGCCCATCAGTGGCAGTAAATCCCCGTATCTATAGGGATTTGGGGAAACCAAAGTATCCAGGGATGTAGGTGAGGAGCTGCCACTTCCTGCTGGAGGTTGGAGAAGACTTCTTGAAAGAGGGGACACTTGCATTGGATCATGGAAGACTCATGGGTGTGCCAGGTGGAATGGGGGTGGGGAGAGCCAATCCTGTCCAAGAGTCCTGCGTGGGCAAAGGCCTAGGAGGCTGGAAAGTGTGTGTGGGGTCCACTTCCACAGCCCATTCACCAACCTTGTGACTCCTCTCACAATGACTCTCCTGGACCTCTTTGCCCACCCATCTGGCCATTTGAGCCAGACAAGCCCTGTTCTCTCACCTTACAAGGGAAGACCAAGATATGGAGACACGCCCAGACTCCTGCCCTAAAGCCAGTTCATACCTGCCCCCCCCATACCCTCCCTGAGCTCCACAGGATTCAAGGGATCACTGGGACCAAAGGACCAAGAACCCAATCCCGGACTCTCAGCACCTTTTTAAGAAGGCAACTGGGAAGGCCCATGCCCCTGTCAGAGGCCACAAGCCCTGGCGACAGGCCCCTTTGGAAGTCAGCTTAGGTTAGGGCCTGAAGGGACCAGTATAGGGGAGAGGAGTAGAGGCAGATACAGGACCCACAGGGGCTGGGGGTGTACAGCTCAGTGGTAGAGCACTTGCTTAGCAAGTGCCGGGGTCTAAACCCAGCACTGAAGAAGAAAAAAGACCCAGATGGGGCTTGTGTTTGGGTTATGATCACTGATAACAGCGGCAGCTACCTCCTGGGCTGGGATTCACATTGATCATCTCCAGTCCTTACACTAGGGTCACTAGGTAGGCAATGCCCAGGTAAAGAGACAGGCTCAGAGGGCTCACGTGCCTTCTCAGGGTCACTTTGTCTTCCAGGGCCCTGGTTCATTGGACTCCATCAGCAAAACACCTCCACCTGGCCCAGGGAAAATACAGGGCCCCAAATTTGATCATGTCATGACCAATCTTAGTGACCAGACCTACAGAAGATCTGAGTCCAAGCCACACCAATCTAGTGACCCTAATAGTCCAGGATTTACTGTAAAAACCATTTTTCACTCCTGCTCACATTAAACCTATTTTATCGCAAGAGTGTGACAACTGGAGTGTTATCTCCACATTCCAGATGAGGCTGAAAAGTTGGTGGCTTGCCCAAGGCCACCTAACTGGGACATGGTGGGGCCAGGGCTTGACCCTATAGTTGGTGCAGGAGCTAATGCTTAGTGCCACGCTCCTCCCAGGCTCCATCATAAGATTGTCCCTCAACAGTGACTGCACACGCCTGTCTTCTCCGGAGATCCCACGTCTCTGCCCAGGGGCATGTGGGCGCTGGCAGTTAGGATAGTGACAGAGCCCACGCCCTGGCGGTGCCCTCTGCAGAGTCCACATGACTGTCCTGGAAATGGCTCTGAAGGCTCAGCCAAGTCTTCTACCCTGGGGCTCTCCTTGCTAAGTGTCCCTCTCCTGCTAGAAAAATAGTACTCTGTCTCATTTAGCTTTAAGAGGCAGAGCTGAGAGGCACAGGAGGATTCCTGGAGGATGAAGTTCCTGCTCTGGATTTTGAAGGAAGTTTTCCAAGTGCCAACAATGCCCATTATTCTGTTTCACTTTGGGGTACAGCTTACATCTAGATTGGGACATATCTCACCACAGTCCCATTGGAATTTTCACCTTCATTTAATTAATTTATTTTAAATATATTTTTAGTTGTAGTTGGACATATTACTTTTATTTATGTGGTGCTGAGAATCGAACCCAATGCCTCACATATGCGCTCCCACAATCCCACAAGCACCTAGCCCCAACCCCAACCCTGACTTCAGTAATTACTGGAGCTGCCTAGGCCCTCTCAGGGACTTATCTGGAAATGTTCCTGATTTGATTTTATTATTTATTTACTTTTTTATTTTTTGTGGTGCTGGAGATGGAACCCAGGGACTTGCACATGCTCTGCAAGCGCCCTACCAGTGATCCCTGATCCACCCCATCTCTGAATCACCCTTGATTTTTGAGACAGATGAGACCCTGACAAGGGTTCAGCTTGCCGCTACACAGTAGATCAGTGGGGGAAACTGGCTCTCCTAAGTCCTTGCCCCAACTTCTGGCCTAACCCAAGGACAGTCAGTCTGTTCTCTAGCCTCTGTTTACCCAGCTACAAAATGGGTATGATACATGGCACACCTTCACTCCAAAATTAGGAAAGCAGAAAAAAAGAACTAAAGGTGTAGCTCCATGGTAGAGCGCTGGCCTCTCATGCATGAGGCCCTGTGTTCCATCCCAGCACTGCAAAAAAAAAAAAAAAAGACCACCAGTTTCACATGGAGCGTTTGCTCTACGCAGAACAGTTCATATAAACACAGTAGGTCTGGTTATTATCCCCACTTGACATCAGGAACCGAGAGGCCCTGGATGCTTTCATTGGGTTGGAGGGCTGAGAAATCCTGGGGGGCGGGGGGCAGGCACTGCTTGGCCTGTAGACAGCCTTCTTTTCCCACAGCTCTGCCTCCCAGACTCCAGGGTACACTGGCAGAGGGTGTCCAGACCTGCAGGACCCACTAAGGCCACGGGGAAGTGGACACCCAGTGTGGATCCCCTAACATGGACTCTCCTTCTATTCCCTTCGGCAGAACCAGAGCTGGGGTCCGGGGCAGGTCCTGCCGGCACAGGCATCCCCAGCCTCCTTCGGGGAAAGAGGGGAGGACACACAGCCAACTACCGGATCGTGGCCTCTAGGAGCCGGGACAAGAGAGGCTGAGAGCAGTGGTGGCCCCTCGGGGTGGACCACACCAGTTTCCCTTCCTAGTCTGGACGAAGCCAGCTCCTCCAGAGACTGCCAGTTCCTATTTATTGGTGTCCTCAGGGTCTCTTCTGCCACCTAGGCCTCTGGCGCCCTGTGCATGGCTGAGACACAGCAGCGACTGGAGCCTTAGAGGAAAGTGACAGCCTAGGCAAGAGGTGAGGTTTCACTTGATAAAGGGCCTGCTCCTCCCCTCTGTAAGATGGGGTGACACAGGCCTCCAAGGAGAGGGCACAGGCACGAGGTCTCTATGCGAAGGCACTGTGGAGGCCAGAAACTGGTGCGTGGCCAGGCCTCCCACCCACAGGGAAGCTGGCTGGGCAGTCTCCACCTCCCTCCTCAGCCACACTTCGGGGAGCTCCCTGAGGATCCCTCCTCTCATTGTCTCCTGGTGCTGGGTTCCCAACCTCGAGGCCAGGCTGCCTAATCTCTAACTGGTTGGTTGGGGGCTCTTTGCCTCAGTTCTGCCTCCTGAGCCCCCAACCCCTCCCGGGGCCCAGGTCAGAGAAGGGGCTGCCTGCTCTCACAAGTGCCTGTGACAGACACTGGGAGGTAGATATGTACTGGCCAATAAAGGTCCCCTGCCTGAATCCCACCCCGTCTGGCTTCAGTGTGTCCTGGGACAGAGGGCAGCCAGGGAGGGCCTGCCTGGGGACAAGAGGAGTGATGAAGAATGCCCTGGCAGGGGACCCAGCCCAGCACTGAAAGACACAGCTTCCTGGGAGAAGAGGACACACACTGCAGGGTGGGAGCCCTGTGTCTCAGGACATGAAGGGGATGTCCTCCCCACTCGGCCACCCAGCCGGCCACTCACTGCTCACTCGCTCACCCCTTTGTTCATCCCCACACCCCAACACAAAGGAGTCAGATGCAACTGCTGCCTCCGATGAGGCCCAGGTTGGAAAATGAATTGGCTTTTATTCTTAAAAAAGCTACCAGGCAGCATGCTCTGGGGCCTCCCCTGCCCCCAGGGGTGCCCCAGTATCCCACGGTGGCTCAGTGGACAGAGCAGGGACTCAGGCTACCTGCCTTTAGGCCAAGCCTGTGCCCCCACCCTCTGCCTGGGTTAGGGAGGCCCAGGGCCCTTGCAGTGGGCAGCCACCTCCTCCTGGGTCACCAGGGGCGCAGTGTCCACCTGCCCCTCAACAAGCAGTGACACAGCACCCTCCACACGGCCTGTGGCTGCCAGTGCCACCACTGCCTGCTCTGTGGGGAAGCCCATGCGCTCCAACTGCTGCAGCCTGTGGACAAGGAGGGAGTGTCAGGGCGGCCCTGGCCCCACACCAGAGCCCCAACCTCCCCAACCCTGCTTACCGCAGAGAGGACACTGAGGACTTGGGCAGCCACAGTGGGCTTTGGGTCTCCTCAACTGGCCTGTCAAGCAGTGAGGCCTGAATCCCCTCCTGCAGCATCTGCTCATCCAGGACGGCCCACATCGGGGCCCCTGGGGGGAAGCGGGACCCAGCCCAGTCCAGGCCCACCTCCAGGTCCTCCCAGGTCAGCTGCACGGGCCCCGGGCCTGGCGGGAGCTGGGCTGTGCCATCACCATGGGACCAGGGCGGAGGGGAGACTTGGTAAGGAGATCCAGGGATGGCAGACCTGCGAGGGTGAAAGCAGAGAAGGGCCTTGCCACCAGTCACCACCATGGTTTCGACCAGCAGGGCCAAGTCACAGCATCACCCTCACCTCGCTCCAGCAGGAAGGGTGACAGGCAGCTCAGCCAGGCTGCCTGGGGTGGGAAGGAGCCTCAAAGGCCAGCACCTAGCCAGGGTCCTACACAAGATGCTCTCCTGCATCACCTGTAGGCGCTGCTCCGAGGGCTCCAGCCACCTTAAGGCTCTGGCAGCATCTGCCCAGAGCAGGGCAGTTGGTCAAGGAAAACCGAAGCCAGGCAGGGATGGGCCTGCTTTGCACGGCCAGCCCCAGGCCGAGAGTGCTGGGCGTTCATTCCTGGGTGTCTAACTCCCCATGGCCCTGAAGAAAAGTGTCTTCACCCCACAACAGCAAGACAAAGAGGGGGACCTAACAAGCCACTCAACCAAGAGCATGAGCCAGAAGTGCCTGCTCCCAATCCAGCCCTCCCAGCCTCAGCCACCCCAGCTGCTGTTCCAGGGACCCGCCTGCCTGCTCACGTCTGTGATTCTGCCAGGAAAAGTTCCACTGACACCTCTCCTGGCCTCAGCCAGGCCACCATGCTTCCATTCAGACAGGCCTGGGCAGCTGGTGTTAGAAACAGACTCTTCCCTTGAAGTCCCCACAGCGGGGTAGAGGGGCAGCCTATTGTCTCTGGTGGCAGTTTCCCCCAACAGGTATTAAGCATCTTTGGAGCAAAAGCCTATGTTTAAGGCAACTGCACCTCCAGCCGACTGTCACTCTCAGTTCCCAAAGAACCCCGGGCTCGTTCCCGCCCCTGGCCCTCGCACTTGCTGTCCACCAAGTGGCCGGCTTTTTCACTTCTGTTCACCTAAACCCTTCCTCCTGAATGTTTGGCACAGATGCCACCTTCAGGACCCAAGTTAGTGGGTCCTGTTAGTGCCTCGTGGATCACCTCAGCACCCCCAGGCTTCCCATGGGGCCCTTTAAATTGTAATTGGCTCCTCCACCTGGTCATGAGCCCCCAGTCCCTAGCCCGAGCATGGCCCAGAGGGAGATGCTCCCAGATATGTGTGCACAGCCACCGGACATTGCTTGGGCCTGACTCCATTGTACCACTTCCTTTCCACCCGGAGCCCTAGCCACAGTACCCACAGGCCCGGGCCCTGTACTCAGGCAAAGGATACAGGCCAAGCCAGCAAGGAGGCCACAAAGGAGCTGCAGGAAGGGTGGCTCGGAGCTGAGCAGGGGGGTCAGGGCAAGCAGCAGCCATGGCAGCAACCACGGTGGCAGCAGCCCCTGGGAATATCTAGGGCAGTGACCTTGCCCTGCCAGCATGGCCAGGTGGACAGGCATGTATCCACAGCTACCAGCTGCACTGGACACACCAAGGCCTGCCAGCAGCACAGCCAGCAGCCCAGTGGCTAGGGAGAGCAGGGCAGAGGCGTGCAGGAATCGCAGTGTGCCCAGGTGGCACTCCTGCCGCCAGCCCAGGACAGGCAGGAGCAGCAGGCTCAGGAGCAGGCCAGGCAGGGCCGTGTGGCCCAGGGCATGGGTCAGCAGCCGGTGCACTGGGAGAGAGAAGGGCTTATGCGCCTGGTTACTGGCCCCACCCTTCAAGGCTGTTCCAGGTGTGCTAGGTCGGGGGATCAGCCTCCACCAGGACCACCTCCTAAACCAGCCTCCCCTCAGCAGGAAGCAATGTGCTCACTACTAGCACCTAATCACTATTAGTGATTAGGACCAAGTAGAGGGGACCAAGGGCTTCCAAATGTCATGGCCACACCCCTGTTGTGTTAAACAGAACAAAGGACCAACCACTCAAGTCTTCTGCACTCACTATGGAGCACTCACTGTGTGTCAGGCATGGTGAAGGTGCTCTACAGAATTTACCAAATCCGTCAAGCCCAGGTGGAAGCACAAATTGTCATGAGACTTCCCGCTTCACTCCTGGAGCCACCTCACTCCCCAGGCTGTGTGGTCTTAGACAATTTACTTAACCTCTCTGAGCATCATTTGGGTTCCTCAATTATAAACTGGAGCTGTTGTTATTATTGACAAACAAGTGCTCAACTGGGGACCACTCCTCCAAGCCCTAGCACCACCTCCCCATCCTCATGCTTAGCTGAAAGCTTAGTACTGATTTTGAGGGAAGGCTGTCAGAAGAGAACTCCTCCCCACAAATTCCCACCCCACCCTGCTGGCCCTTCTGCAGGGTCCTTGGCCCTCCCTGGCTGTGGATGAGCTGGGCATGCTCCTATTTAAGCTGATCGTCCCCAGGGTACTAGGTCCCACCCCTGTACAACCATGCTGCTCCCACCAACTGATTGCAGACCCTGCAGCAACTCTCCAGACTCTCCTAGGTCCACTTGGCTGGCCCTCACCCTGCCAGGGGTCCAACAGCAGCTCCGGAGCCAGGGTCAGGCTGGGGCCGGCCCCCACCAGCCACAGGCTGCTCATCAGCAGCATGAGGACAGAGGAGGCAAGAGGCAGCGCTGGAGACAATAGGCCAGGGGGTTCCCTGGCATGCATACTTGGCTGAGGAAGGTCAAGCATGACCCCGGGGCTCTGTACTGTGGGAGTAAGGGAAACAACAGTTACTACTGCAGGTTTTATCTCTCTCACTCCCCACACTTGACCCGCCTCGTTTTACAGTGCTGGGAACTAAGGATAGAGAGGCAGGCCCAGCAGCTTGGCCACAGTGGAGCCCAGAGCCCAATCCATCTTCCCTTCCACCTGCCCATATGTGAGAGTTCTGAGTTCAGATGGGCCCTGGTACTGGGCCTGGAAAGTTAACTGGGGCCCTGGACTATAGAAAAAGAAGGGTAGAGCTCCCCCAGGGCATATTCAGGGCCACCTCTAGCCACCTTTTGCTTCCTAGTTCCCTCAGACTACTACCTTCCTCTCACTACTACTCCATTTTGCCCAGTCTTAGGGTTCCAGATGGCCACAGTTGCCCTTGACCAAGGGGTCAAAGCCAGCCAATAGGCAGACTGGGGAGAGGGTGGGGGAGGACTGGCAGAGGGGTAACAGGGTCCCACACTGTGAGCCATACAAAATGACCTGGAACTAAGGCATCTCCTCCTCCCCAATCCTGAACATAGCTTCTCTGGCCCCAACTTCTCCCGTCACATAAAACACCAATATCTGTTCCATCTCTTTCTGCTATATAATGGGACAACTTTCCCAGCCTCTGAACCTTCCCTTTCTCATCTGTGAAATGGGGAATAAGAAAATCCTTTCTTCATAGTGTGAGAAGAGAAAGAAATAGGCTAAGGCAGGCTCCAGCCTACAGTTCCTGCTCAGTAAACTGTAGCCATCCCCTCATCCCCACATATGCACATACAGCTGCCAACTGGCCCAAAGAGCCTCAATAGGAAGTTAGTTGCTCAAGCCTCTCTGGTCCAAGCTCTGGGCTCCAAACCTTGCCATTCCCTGCCCACAAAGCAAAGCTCTTTTCTCCCCCATGTTCCCCTATGACATCCAGGCTGTCCTCCAGCCCCTGCTGGAGCCCCTTCACCCCTGGCCAGGGCTCTGTCTCAGGATGCCTACTGAGCTGATTCAGAGAAGAAAATAAGATCCCAGAGACACAGGAAGGCTGCCTAGTCGGCTTCCTTGCCAAGGGCAGCCCCTGCATCTGCCAGGTCCTGCAGGGAAAATGAGGAAAACTTCTCTGCCTGAAATGTCTTTCCTTCCAACTCTCCAATGGTCACACTTCTACTCACCCTTTGAAACCCAGCTCAAATGTCCTTTCCCCTCTGACACTTCATTTCATAGCTCTTATCCTATCTCATGAGCACAGCTTGGCATGCCTCCCGAAGTAGGTAGTTTGAATTCATAGGAGGAGGGGCTCCTCTTATCCCCAGGTTCACCAGGGTACTCCCAGCACACAGCTGGTGCTTTTTCTGTGTTCACTAAAAAAAAAACCCCACGAACTTGGCTTCCAGTTCTGCTCAGGAATTTAGGGTGAGCCTGCCCTGCACTGGATCTGAGCACCCACCTATGTATGCCACTGGGAGGAGGTTTGGGAAAGTGGGCAGGTGACAGCCTTGCCTGGGGGTAGAGTCTAAGGTCGCAGCAAACTTCCTTTTCACCCTCACAACCATCCACCTACAGGGCACCAAAACAAGGGTGAAGGACTTGCCCACAGACACAGAACTGGGACTTGAGCCCTCTGGAGCTGCTTCTTCAATTCACAAAATGGGGCTGAGCACCCCAAGGCCCTGCCTACCTTAGAGGGAAGCCAGGCGCACAGAATGGGAAGTCAAGGACGGGGACGATTCTTCCGGATGGTGGACAGAGTGGGCTGGTGGGTATCCTAGGTTCTGGGCCAAACTCAGCTTTGTGACTTTGGGGAACGTACTCAACTTTCTTCGGCCTCAGTTTCCCCTTCTGTTAAGACAAGGGTATTGGATGCGGGAAGATTAAAGGACCTTCTCAAGGCCGACCGTTACTGGGGGAGGGCCCTGGGGGCCGGCCAGGCGTTCGGGGTGTCCCACCTAGCTCACCGGCCTCGGACCCCTCCCCCGCAGGCCCCGGCCACGCGTCCGAGGTACTCACCGCGGAGCACGCCCCCCACACCAGAGGGCCGGGCGGGGCCCCCAGGCTGGGAGTCGGCACTCCGGCTCCGGGCTGAGGCCCAGGGGCTCCAAACCCATCGTGCGCGCACGAAGGCGCGTGACCCCAGCCGACCGGCCACAGCGCAACCCCCTCCCCCTCCCACGCCGCCCGCCGCCCGCCGATTAGTCAGCAGTTGTTCTAGGCCCCGATCCCTTCCCCCAGCCTCTCCGGCCGGCCTCCGTTTCCCTCCAGGGCAGACTCTTCAGAGACGGTCCCTTGAGCCCGCGGACGTAACCACTGCGAACGACCTAGCCTCGTGCGGGGAATCGCTCTGATTTGATACTGACACCGGTTCACCACCCACTCCGGCCCCTTCGGTGCTATTTTGGCTCTCGCGTCACGTCGGCGATCTTAAGAGAAGATTGAGACAACAGTTTCGGGCGTGAAGGTCGAAAAAGCAGTGGCTCATTCCTTCTTCCCCCACCCCCGTGGCCTGGCCCGATGGTAGCGCCCGAGGTTGCGAGTTTCGCGCCTGCGCAGTGCGGCGCCTAGAGGGAAAGCGAGAGGGAGACGGACGTTGAGAGAACGAGGAGGAAGGAGAGAAAATGGCGTCCACGGGTAAGTGTGGTGGAACTGCGGTCGCGCAGGCGACGGTCGGGAAGCCCGAACTGGGGGCTTCTCCTCTTTGGGGGTGGCCGAGATGACTGTGTGGAGTTGCCGAGAGGAGTTGGAGGTACCCTCCACGGCCCGACGAGTTCGGGGGGCCCGCGGTCTCGTCTTCTCCCCTCCCCCCATCGGGTGGGCCGGTTCTGGAACCTTCCGGCTCCCGTGGCGCGCGGGGGGCTCGCGGCAGCGGGGGCGCGCGGGGCCCGTCTTGGCCTCCATTGTGTGGCGGTCGTCAGGCCCCCCGCCCCGGCCGCCACGTGGGCGGGGCCTGCGGCCTCTGAGGCCCCGCGTGAAGGGGGGTCCGCGGCCGCGCCTCGAGCCTGTCACCCCGAAAGAGGGGGGCTGGAGAAGCCGCGGGCCCGCTGCCCTCGTGACCCCCTCCGATTCCCAGGGAGGCGGCCCTAGCTCCAGGGCGACTCTTTTCACGGAGAAACTCGGAGAAAAAAGCAAATAAACAAAAAAGGCCTTGCAATGTGAGCTGAGGGGCGCCGGCTTATGAGCGCCAGCCCCGTCATCCTTCGGGCCCGGTGAAGTGGGGCTGCCGAGCTGCCCGCCTGGGTGGCTTCAGCCCGAGCACGACTTCTGCCCCGTTGGCCTTCAGACGGAATGTCCCCCACCTTTAGAGGCCCCCAATTTGCTGCTCCCTTGAACTTACCAGTTTTTATAGTTTTGTGTTAACACTACCTCTTTTCCTCCCCCAAAAAGCAATTAAGTGGCTTCCCGGGGCCCCTTTTCAGCCAACGCCGAGGGAGATCGGTTGTATAATAAGGCCGGCCTGGATCAGGAGACCAGAATTTCTACCAGAAAGAAATTTCTGGTCTCTTTGATCCAAGAGGGACAAAAAAGCCCTAGCCGACCTTTGAATTATGCTTCAGCCATCGTTTTGCACGTTTTTATATTCGCCAAGCTTGTTTATTTCGTGAACTGATGCGGCGGGCGTGGGGGGGGCAGCGCAGAGTGAACTTTAAAAGAAAGCCCGGGGTGAGAACTCTAGAATATGGGTAGGGGGGTCTTAACTGCCCCGCAGCCTTGCCTGCAGTTTGCAGCTTGTCGTTTTCTAATCCAGGGTTATTGGCTGTGTGGAGTGTTTTGCCTCTGGGGGTATTCTTAAGCGGGCCGGATTCCAGGCCTTAGAGGAAGGGGGGAGCCGAATGAGAGGGAAGGAAAATTCTGAGTCCTTCAGAGTTTTACTTTGGAAAGACTTCAGCATCCAGCAGGTGAAGGACAATTTAAGAACTCTGCCCATCTGTCTGTTCAGGAAAAGGTAAATGTTGGCTTTTGGTGCCAGACTACCAGGAGTGTCCCCTAGAAGAGAGGACTCTGAGATACCATGTCCCAAGACATTCTGGTGGTAAATGGTTTCCCCCATGCCTTTCCACCCTATTCCTGCCTTCCAAAGCCTGAGGGGGCCAAATGTGTACATTCAAGTTTCTGTATTGCTGAACATGCCTTTTTCCAGTATACTGTGTTAGAGTTGCACGTGGTTTTCATAGCCACACCTGATTAAGCCCTTCTGGGCGACCTTTGGGGAATAACATAACTTATCTGCACCTTAGGTTCCTTTCCTGGAAAATGTGGGAGTATGTATGCTAGACCTTTTTTATGTAAGTTTGACCTTTTAAAAAAGTTTGTTGAGCCCTCCTGACCTTACAGCAAAAGCATTTCTGCCCAAAGTTGCCCCATGCTGACTTCAATGCCTTATGTAATCTGAAGCTCTAGATCTCTACACCTTGGGTAGTGTCAGCCCTAATGCTACTGTCTTGGGTAATGGTTAGGTGTTTTCCCCTCTCATTTATATCATGTAGTAAAGTACCTGCAGAGTATGTCCATTTTAGCAGGATTATAGTACAAAGCCTCCAACCACCATTTGCACCAAGAAATAGAACATTACCAGCATTCTGGGCCCTAATCCCCAACTTCAGCCCTTCTCCTTGGCCTATGCTGTGTTTTAGTAAAGTCTTCAATTGTGCATTTGGGGATTAGAAACAAGCACAACTGGTTGTTGAATAATTTGATCAGTGTGTAACTGTAACATTTTTGAGGCCATAGGATGTTTGTGTACTGTAAGGTTTTCATGAAACAACAAATTTACTCCCACCATACCGGAGACCCAAGTCTTCTGGTTTCTCACTGAACTGAGGTCATTAGCTGTTCCATATCAGCTTTGCCAATTTTATGCTTTATATAATTGCACTTGTGTAGAAGTCTTGTTAAGTATTGCACTATATGTCATTGATTTAAAATCATTTCTCCTATAGAAACATCAGTAAAATGTAGGTTGAAATATTTTGTTTTAGTTGCTTCATTGGTATTTTGTGAATGCCATATGGAAGGAATGATTTACACTTAATTTTTATAGGTTGTGTAAAGAATATAACGTAGTGCTATTAAAAATGCTTTAAGATTATCTTCAACAGATCAGGGTTTTTTGGTTATAGATATCTTTGGGGCAGTTGATTTGATAATGTTAATGATTCAGGGTTCTGTGTTAAAGTGAGGAAGGAAAGTTAAGTGCAAAGAGGTAAACAAACCAACTTAAAGAGATGGATTCAGCAAAGAACTCTGAGGCCAAGAGATTGTGAGGCAGTCTTTGGATTTCATCAAGTGGGGTAGAATCCCTCCATGAAGAACTGAGATGTCAACTGTTGCTTTTGGATGAGGGACTACTTTCTGACTGGAAAAGAAAGGACCCTTTTTTCCCCTATCTTAATGGCAGTACTGTCTTCAAGCATTGAACAGGATGTGTATTCTTGTGGAGAGGAAAGAATTGGGCAGAATTTAAGATGATTACGTTAGCTGCCTTTAGGAGGAGAAAACACCTAAACTTATATAACTTTAATTCAGTGGTGCTATGAAAACTTAGCGGTTTTATTTGCTGTTTGCTGCAGAACCTCAGCGGGCTGCAGTCCCTTTTGATGTTGTAAATTTGCTGTGGAAAGGAAAATTGTAGGAGTATTTATTTAGAAAGAAGAAATTTTGTGGATACTTTTTATTTTTATTTTTTATTTTTTCAAATCACTTTGGATTTTAGGAAATACAGTAGAGTTATCTAAAATCATATTGTTCCCTGGCAGATTAAATGCTTTCTCCTCTTTGACAATTTTCAAGATTCTACTTAACTTGACTGCACTAGGATTTATAATGTATCTAGCTTTTGAGTTACTATACTGATGTAGCCCTGGTGCAGTTGGCAGACTCTTTAAAATACTTGATTATAACACTAGATATAATTTTCTGCCATTCCATTTCAATGACATTGTGCTAGGGAATTATGGTTGGTCTTGCTCACCAAAGCAAGATGTAGTGATAGAAAAACTAGTTTTTGAGGAATGCAACTGCTAATTAATCAGTTTGGTGTTAAACATTGTAATATTGTTGCATGTTTTCTTTTCTTTCTTTATGAATGGAAAACATCTGATCCTCTATAACCTTAGAATGATCATGCATTTGAAATGATAGCCTGTGATTAAAGAGGGTTTATGGTCATGGGAACATGCAAAGGATCCTTGCCACATCAGCTGATCTTGATCTCCTAAGTTAGCACCATATTCAAACTTTCCGAGTTTAACTAACTTAGACTTAATTATTTTGGTTGCTGTTGAGAAATAAGAGGTAGTCATTTGGACCTGTGTCAGTTCTCTCTAAATAGTTTTGGGTTCTTGGTACCTTGAATTCCTTGCACTTATTTTTTTTCCCCTTTCATCTTGTCTTTACTGACTTTACACTATTTTCTCTCATTGTTTCCTCTAGATTACAGTACCTACAGCCAAGCTGCAGCCCAGCAGGGGTAAGTCAGTTTTTTGTGATATTTTGTCTGTGATTAATGTTTTTAGAGTATGGAGCCTCCTATAATTGTAGAAGATATAGTAATGGAATAAGAACATTCTATGTTCAGTTCTTGCATTTAATTCTTTTGCAGCTACAGTGCTTACACCGCCCAGCCAACTCAAGGATATGCACAGACCACCCAGGTAATTTTTGAGATAATTAAATGTAACTGCATCTCCAAGTAAAAATGTTTCTTTCTTTTTTTAAGGGAACACTGCAAAGGACAGTTTCTTTTTTAAAAAAAATATTTTTTTTTATTTGTAGATGGACACAATATTTTTGTTTTATTTATTTTAGTATATATGTATTTTTATAACTATTATTTTTTTGTGTGGTGCTGAGGATTGAACCCAGTGCCTCACACATGCAAGGCAAGCGTTCAACCACTAAGCTACAACCCAGCCCTCCAGATAAAAAGTTTCTATTGGCTATTAAAACACCAGCTAACAGATATTTTTCAAAAATTAGGTAAAAGTAACATGAGAGCTAGGGTTGTAGCTCAGTGGTAGAGTGCTTGCCTTATGTGCATGAGACCCTGGGTTCAATCCTTAGCACTGCATAAATAAATGTATTATGTGCATCAGCAACTTAAATGAAACACAAAACAGCAATAGTAGAATTTTTTGTTTAATCATTAGAAATTCAGAAATTTTGAACTTCCTTAGTG